ATTATTATATTTAATTTTTAATATTTTATTACGACTAACGATCAATGGTCAATGACTGCCCGTGCTCACTCAAAATTTTGGATCCATCACTGAATATAAGTATATGTATTTATGTCTAGGGATGAACATAGTTTGTAACAATTTTTCAAACCAAATCGCTCAAAGTTGTTTGAAATTTTTTCAAACAAAACAACTTTTTTGGGTTTGGTTCAATTTAAAACCCCATTTTAACAAAGAAAAAAATAGTATGTATTGAATAAGTTAAATCACAAATATTAGTATAAAATTTCACGTTATCGTTAAAAATGTTACAAGACAAAGTTTTGTAATTCTAATCCCTTTAATGCAACAACAATAGAGAAACGTTTTAACCTATTATCGATACTAATTGGCACAACAATTACAATTATGAAACATTATTCATTCTCTCCATAAAAATAAACATATAATACTTAAATTCATTTATTATAGTTAACTGATAAAAGAAAATAAATAAAAAGATCAAATACCATAATACATTCTATAATTTTTTTGTAAATCATTTAATGCTTCTACTTTATCCAAATATTGATGAATCAATATAGATTTTTTGTTAATATGCAACCAATTTTTAGGGCAAATATCCGCCTCAACCATATTTGCACAATTGCACTCAACAAGTTTCCAAAGAAATAAAAAAAAAATTATTCACCAAAGAAATACGTTAAAAGGGTCATTGGTCAAATCTTCAAAACAATATTCATTTAAGTAATCTACCAAGTCATTTTACAAATTAACAATAATAAATTAAAATATAAATAATTAAATGAGTGACCCGACCTTGGAATTGAGACACAAATAAACAAAAAATGTTGTCCGCTAAAAATTTAAAGGAACCCAACACAAATTAGAACAAAACAACACAACTACCAATAAAATATAGTAGACAATTACCAAAATTGAGAAAATTTGAATAATCTGACCTAGATATCTAGTTGAAATTTGAGAAATTTGTTAGTGAAAGGAAAAGAAATGTGTAAGTTTGAATTAAATTTTAGATTTAATTGTCTACTCAATCGTAATAGACAGTCGATAAATATGGTTCAGCATCAATTGTTCAACACTTCACCCAATTTGAGGATTTTGCATTTACAATTGTGATAACTGATGGGTATTTGGGTACATATTAATTAATTAATTGGGATAAATAATTGTCTTAAGTATTGAGTTTAATTGTGTTATGTTTAATATGTAGTTGTATAATATTAAAACTAACTTATTTTCAGAACTTTTTGGCGGTTTGAAACATTTTGCAAAGATTGAAACATAAATCAAACTACTTCAAAACAAAAACGTCAACAGATCCACACAAATCTAAACCAATAGTTTCAAAAAAAGATTTTGGTTCGATTTTACGATTTGACGGTTTTATGATCAGCCCTAAGTATGCCATGGTATAACTTGTGTGTTCAGAAGGAAACTTAAGCCCATACATAGGTAAAGAATATCTTAAATTCTTGATAGCATTTCCAAAATATTCTTTAAACATAAAATGCTATCTGGTTTAAAGAGTTCACCTTTAAAATGATACTTCAAGTGACTCTTTTTTTGGAGTAGTAAAATTAAATATTAAATATTTAAATATAAAGAGTTTGTTGAAATACTAAAAAATTTTACTTTTTAAAATTAGAGGTTTTTTCTAAATTTCAAAATATATCTAACTAAATATAAAAGAGTCAGATATGGTTACTGTTCACCAGTCGTGAGCCGAGCCGAGCCGAGCCGAGCCGAGCCAAATGGCTTTACTGCTAAGCTCGACTAATTTTTTTATTTTTTTCCGTTTTTACGTTTGATTCAATATTTTAAGTTACAGATATTCGTTTTAAACGATTTAAAATTTGTTCGAAATGTTGAAGAACGGCCATGATAAATATATGATCGATAAATTTTAAATATCAAAAATTGAAGTGCGTCCATGATAAATATATGATCGATAGATTTTAAATATCAAAATAATTTTACATTAATTGTGAAGCGTAAAGTCGT